CAATGGCATAGCTTACAACGGCATGACTAACGTCGACCACCAATCTTTTTTTAAAATAAATGTTAAAAGTATATAAAATGAATAAATGATGGTTGACTACCATTTTATATATATCTTCATTTTTTTTTTCAACATTTGTTTATTTTTTTTTTGGGGAGAAACCAACACTTTCAAATTATAGTCACAAAAACTTTTCAACAAAAACAATTGAATTTTAAGCCATTTAGCACTTTTCTTCTATAACACTTGTTTTTCTTTGATATCGAGAAAAACCATCACATCAAAATAACAGAATTCAAGGATAAAATTTGAAAATTTCTTCGAAACAAGTTAATCAAAGGCTGGTTTCAAAATCTTTTATTTTGACTTTTCGACAAGAAAATTGGAAAATTCAACGACAGATATGAATTATGATCAAACGCTGACGTTTACTTTCTACTGATTTTCACGGTTGATCGTAATAAGAACCATGCTCTTCCAATAACCATTGAATACTATATATATGTACGTGGCTTTATGTGTTTGATCGATAAAAAACATCTCTGTAATAACAATCATCTGAAGAAACAACTCTTATCGTCCATGGCTTCATCTCCTCTGTAAGATCCTTTATCACTTTTATGAGGTTTCTAGATTATTAATATATATATATATAGTCCATTGTGAGTTCCCCCACATACACCAATAAAGAAATGAAATCAATAAAAGATTAGAAGAAAAAATGTATTGATCAATCTTTGTTTATCTAGGATTTTTTATATTAATTGTGTTAATCGATCAATTACAAACTTTTATAACCCATATATAAGCTTAATAACCCGATATAACTCATAATTAAAAACATGAAATATTTTTAACCTTAAGATAAAACGTATCAAGAATATATAACATAGTCGAAATTCATGTTAAAATCTACTAAACTTTTTTTTTCTTCTTTAACGTTATATCTTTATCGAGAAAAGTTTGGTAGAAGATCGTCAAGTTCCTCTAGATGCTACCTCCGATCCACCTGCTCTATTCGACGGAACCACGAGGTTTATTTTTTACTTTATTTTTTTGAAATTATTAAGTTAAGCATAAAAAATATTTGTCAATGAGATTTTGATGTGTTAAATTAACTCTCGTTTGTTAAATAAAAATCGAAAAAAGGTTGTACATATGCTACACCTGCCCGTTTGCACAACGTGTTTGGATCACCAGAAACGTCAAGGTACTTTTGTTTTTAATTTTCTTCTTCTTTTCTCCATAGTAAATTGTTTAATTAATCTTATAGAGAGATTACTCCTTTTCTTGATTCACATAAAATGGGAACAAAATCACTCTTTATAAACTTTCTCTTACAATGTGTTTTTTTTTGTATGTATGTAAAAGGAAATTGATATGATATCATCAAGATTTGTCTAATTGTTTTGATATTGGGGAGTTTAAGGGTCTGCAAGAGAAGATCAAATTGGTTCCTATAGACCTTGATAATAGGCCAGCTTGGTTCAAAGAGAGTGTAAATCCTGCAAACATGGTATATATATACCTTTATTCGGTGTAAAAAGAAAAAAAAATTTGGATCCTTATAAAATATAAATCATGGTTCCTTCAAAAGTGACAATAGATGAGTCTAAGATTGTAATAATGATATGCAGGTACCTGCACTTGAACACAATGGCAAAGTCATTGGGGAGAGTCTAGATTTAATCAAATATGTCGATAGCAACTTCGACGGTCCTTCGCTTTACCCCGAGGTTAGACCGTGTTTGGGTTCTAGTTACTTCATTTACATATTTAATGTTGTAGAGCTTGTTTCATGTTCTTCTGTGGAACCTTTTTTTTTGGTGTGTCTAGGATCCTGCAAAGAGAGAGTTTGGTGAAGGCTTGTTGAAATATCTTGATACAACATTCATGAAAATTGTGTTTGGCTCTCTCAAAGGTGATCCAGCTAATGAAACGGGTAAGATTTGATTTTTTTTGCAATTTACAAAAAAATCTTCGTAACTGAAAAATGCTTTATATTTCAAATATGCAATTTTTATTTGTTGTTATGTAAACATGGACACAAACGCAAATACATTACGTTTAAAGCAATAGAAGTCTTATCGTAACCTAGTAACTAGAAGCTGAAACTTTGGTGTTTTTGAGCAGCATCGGTCTTCGATCACTTGGAAAATGCTTTACAGAAGTTTGATGATGGTCCATTCTTCCTCGGCGAGCTTAGCTTGGTATATGCAATGATAAAATATACAATGATAAAATATTTTAGTTTCACAATGATCAAATATTTTTTTGATTTTTCTTTTCCTAGGTTGATATTGCATATATTACGNTCACCGACCGATTTAAAGTCTTCCTCAACGAAGTTCTTTAGTACGATATTGTTGCCGGGCGTCCAAAACTAGCTTCTTGGATTGAGGTACACACATACACATATAGCAATGTTCTTATGAGGTTAAGCAATCTAATCTAAAATGTATATATACAATTTTTGGTAGGAAATGAACAAGATGGTTGCATATACGCAGACGAAGACCGACTCTGAAAATGCCATCAATATGTTCAAGAAGTTCATGGTAAGAGAGTTTCTGAATCTCTAAAATACCGAAGGGAGGTTCTGAAACTCTAAACACATATTTAGAGCATCATTAATAGTAAACCCATTAATGAATATTAAATAATTTTTTTAATATTAAATTTAATGAAAAACAGTTTTGACACTCCAAAATCAGTTTCATTGAGTTCCTCCTATAGAACTTCTCTACAGGAAGTTCATTTAACTAAGGGTGCAACTGGATTGTCATTTTATGGGATAAAATCAAGTGGAATACCTCATTCCTGTGCATATCACGAAAAAACTACCATTTACATGGAATAAAAGATAAAATTCATTCCATTGCATCCCATGACTTATGTGGGATTGTAGAGGAAAAGAGTCAAAAAACATTCAGGAAAAAAAACCATCATGAATAGATGGGATACATATATAATTTAAAAAAAAAAAAACTAGAAAGATATTGTTACGATTTTATCCGAATCGGAAATGATCAAACCACAGATTTCTCATTTTCTACTAACATTTGTTATGCTTTTAAAATATAAAGATCTCCTTTAGATTTTTTCATCATATTTTTCTTTTTTTTAAAACATCATTTTCTTTCTTTTTTTAAGAATTCTAGAACTATGCTAATAAAACAGGTTTCTATGTTAACGTTTTTTATTTTCT